TAAGGTAAATTTTAGTGTTTGTAAAACGATATCAAGCTAAGAACTACGCAACAGTTCAGTTTAGATCTATATTGAACTGTAGAGTCAATTAGTTGATAAGTTAAATATTAGACCCCCCAGCGGGGCACCGTGGGACTACGAGGGATCTCGCAGGGACATCGTGGGATGCGTACGCCTTAGCTTTAAGTTGCGTGCGTCTTAACTTTAAGTTGCGTGCGTTTAGTTTTAGTTAATATTTGTAAATTCGTTGTGAACGCATTTTGTACAAAGACGTTTATTGAACTTGGAACGAAATTAGGAATCCCTCATCTTCTCTTTTCTTTCGTTCATAGCAATCTCAACCAGGGCAATTGAAGGATTGTTGTTTTATTAGAGAGATCGTTGATTTCTAAAATTATAGATTGAATTTTTTAATGATAAGGTATAGTGCATTTGTAAATGTTGTGGATGACCGTGAATTTTAGATTTTGATAGATATTTTAAAACATGATTGATATTTTAAAACATGATAGATATTTTAATACATGATTTGATAAATTGATAGATCTTTTTTATGTCGTCTCCTTTTTGATTAAATATAATCAGGGCCGTTCTAAATATATTTCCCTAAGTATATTTCAAAAAATAAAACATCCCTTTATAGATAATAATTTTATCATTTCCAACGAAAGACCAATCGATAAATTCGAATAGGGCTCTTTCTGACACACACATTAGTACATAATAGAATAATTTTAGATACTAATTTTGTATTTTGGAATCTGGAGATACCATTTTGCTTGTATCGTTTTACTTGATATAATCCTTTACATTTCGATATTGAAAGTTTGACAATACTGTAACGAACAAAAAATCATATTGCTGATGCATTCACTAGTTCCTCAACTCACCGTTATTTAAACGTAGAGTGCGCTAAAAAAACAGTGATTTTTTTTACTATGTCGGTATTTCAGGTCACGAGCTACGAAATCCCCGAAGATGCTTAGGCTATTCTTATACCTCGTATGTGGTAAGATGCTCAATCTACTCAGATACCTCGTCGGTGCAGTAACAATGGCTATTCGTAAACTGAAGTGATACATTCTTTGCACGACAGATGGACTACATAGTCGTCTTCAGAAATTAATTTTGTTTTGATACATGGACTTGTCTGTACTTAGTGCTTAATAACCTAATCGTCGACAGTTTACATGAATAGTTATGACAAATACCGGAGTTACATATTAAATTGAAATTATTCATAACTATGGAGAAAACTATTGTGGCCAGCGATGATACTAAACGACTTTCAACCTTAGAAAAAGAGCAGAGAGCAATTGATAAGACGCCTTTTCGTCATTTAAAAATTACTAATGCAGAAATTTTGGATACGATAGAAGGCAGAAAAATATGCAAATGTTGTTATAGGTCGAGAAAATTTTTTTGTTATTCATGCTATTTGCCTGTCATCAGTAAAGAATATTTTCCCACGATAAAGGTATTAATTACTTCAGATATTGTAGTAGGTTCATGGTAGTGTCAGTCAGTTCGTTGAAATTTTTTTTATAAAAGTTCTTTTTTAAATCACAAAAATTTATAAGCTAAATTATAATTAAAGGAATGATATTTTTAAACAGCTGAAGTACATAAATTCAAATTTTCCAAAGTTTGATGTACATTATCATGATTTCCAACTTATTGTTCATTTTATATAAACTTAAATTATTGAAATATGAATAAATAATATTTTATTTTCAGTTACCTATTAAAATTGATATTATTAAGCATGCACGTGAAATTGATGGAAAAAGTACTGCGATTCATGCAACTATACTTGCTCCAGAAGATGTGAGAATTTTCACATATCCCAACTTTCCAGAAATATTGGACAAAGAGGAGGTACAACAGTAATATCATAATTTGAATCGTCTTGTGTCTTAAAACTTTAATATAGTCTAAATAATATTACCCCTTAGACTGTTTTAATTTTTCCTAGCCCAACTGCTACATCTGTGGACTCGTTATTCATAAAAAAAGTTGAAGAAGATGATGAAATAATTATGAATAGAATAAAGAATGCATTTCCTATAAAAAGAGCTATTTTCATTGACAGCACATGGCATCAAACAAAAGCTATTTACAAAGATCAAAGATTACGAGGTGATTACTCAATTAAATTAATAATAATATTCTTAATACGTATATACTGTACCATATTTATTAATATTTTTTACAATTAAGAACCATTGTTTAAGAATTAGAAACAAATTGATGTCTTTAATTAATTTATTTTCTAAGAATTATTGCTAATTACTACGATTTATATTAATAATAATTCAGATAATATAATACATATAATACATATAATATAATACATACGATTTATATTAATAATAATTCAGATAATATAACACATATATTTCTAATATACTAATGTTAAAACAACAAAATGTACTATTTACAGATTTGCATTGTGTCATTTTAAAATCAACATGTACTATTTACAGATTTGCATTGTGTCATTTTAAAATCAAGAATATCACAATTCTGGCGTCATCAGAAAAAGAGTCCACGATGGTATTTAGCCACTATTGAAGCAATTCATCAGTTTTTAATAGAACTGCATACATGTGCATTTGGTGCGATACAAGATTATGCTGAAGAAAACTCTACAAATAACATAATGCATCAACATGCAAACGAGTTACCTGAAATAGATCAAAGATATAATGGTCAATACGATAATCTTTTATATTTTTTTAAATATATGTATGAGAAGATTCATACTATCTATGATCACGATAAACTATGGGCGTATAAGAGGCCATTAATGTAATTCTGTGATAATAAAATATTTTATGAGAGAAGTATTAAATATTCTATAAATAACTATATTAAAAGAAAAGTTTAGTTACATTATTTCTATGATCTTGAAAGCATAATCATTAAGTGAATCAATCATTTACAGCAATTGGTTAGTATGTAGTCCGAGATAACAAGTTAATAAAACCAACTGTTATGTAAAATAGAAATGTAATATCTTACAAAACATTTACACATATTTAAAACTTTAAAAATCATGTGCTTTGTAGGGAAAAATATTAATTATAGTTTGTTTCTAATACTAAAAATAGTTAAATCAATGGTGCAAATATAAATAAAATGATACACATAATTTTTTTCAATATTGTTTTAATTCTATTAAGTCAGTAAGTTTTTTTCGTAGTAATATTTTTAAACTATATATATATGTTTTCTTTATATAATATAAATCGACATGTTAGATAATAAACACATTACCACTAGAATGTAAAAATTTCAACAGCAGTTCAACATATTAAAAATTTTCCCGAAGAGAGGTGGGTGACCTAACAGGTATATTCCTATTTCAAGTCAAACATCAAATTGCGTTATTATGCACTGGGAAACCTCTCTGAAAATTTTAGAATACGTACACGTCTTGCGTTACAACACGACGTCGTCGAAAAGCTGTAAAATCAGCTGTAAACATAGGAGTCTGCAACAACTTTGGATCGTTTATTACGTTCGAAAATAAATAATGGAGAATAGGGAGTGCGTACGGGAAAGAGAATGCTCCCAAACACAAGGGAGGCAGCACGCTGATTCGTGAATAGCTGCTAATGACGTCACAGTGTTCTCGTCCCTTGCGTCTCGCAACCCGCGCTGTCCGTCACTCGTCTGCGATGAGTTTAGTTTTCAAAACAAGACTCTGGTCGCCGCTCGTGGGCTGCACCCGCGTCTGAACGAAAACTCGAATCGGAGCCGGAACCTGCTAACACGGAAGGGTCGTGTGCCGTACAACGGTGTCCCGCGCCGGTAGTAGCCTCTCCTTCCTCCGCTATTTTTCTCGTTCTCGTTAAAACGTGACGAAAAAAATGGACACTCTCCGCGAGCAGGTGATGATCAATCAGTTCGTGCTGGCCGCAGGTTGTGCCAGGGAGCAAGCGAAACAGTTGCTGCAGGCGGCGCATTGGCAGTTCGAGGTAAAAAAACAAAAAAAAAAAAAAAA